ATTGAGATGATGATAAAGCTGTTTCCCCAAAGGAAGGTATGCTGGGCAGACAAAAATCATGTCCTCTACCATAACTTAAGATTTAAGGGGGTGTGCATACCCATCTAGGTACCTTTTACTTATATTTTATTAAGCATTTGTAGCAGACATTTGTGATATGCTATGTCGTATCCTCTCGACTCACCTGACTTCAATACACCTTTGGCATCAGCCTGCCCATTTTGCCACCATCCTTCATAAAGCATGCGTGGAAACAGCTCTCTGCTTTCTCTAAGGCAGCTGAAGGTACCTCAGTCAAATTCAGGTAACTTGAAATATGCCAAGGTTACAGGTTCGATCCCCTGTCAGGGCACAGACAAGAATCAACCAATGAATGCATGAGTAAGTGGAACAACAAATTGATCTCTCTCTCTCTCTCTCTCTCTCGTGCATGTGCATGCGCTCAAATGAATAAATAAAAACATGAAAAAAATAAGCACTTATTATTGCTTCCTTTATATAAAATAAGAAGAACAACAACAAGAACAAGAAGGAAAAAAGAAAGTGCAAGGGGGTTAACACCCCCAGGGAGGGATATTCATCTAATGGGGGATGGGATCAATGATAAAATGCCCCAACCACCATCCTCTGGGGGAACACTTCTGAGGTGCTCTCTCCACGGTTCTTCTGCCGGTCCAGCAGGATTGAGCCTCAGATGCCCACAGCGACAACCAGAGCATTAACATACCTGTGTCGTCTTTTCTCTTTCCCTTGTCTCATTCTTCCCATTCCCTCCCTTCTGCTCCCTGGGAGCACCTACCAAATATACTACCTGCACCCACGTCCTTCTCTCAGATTTTGCTTTTGAAAGGAACCCAACTAAGAGAGCGCTTATTACTGATATTTTAGGGAAAGTCAATGATGCAGGTCTCTGCAGGGTAGACCTCTGCCAGTACAAACCAGTACAGTTTGTTCACAGGCATCTGTTCTGACTGGCTGGCATCCATTTGGTTGGTTGGTGCCACACAGGTCATCTGCCACTAACAAAGTCTGTCAGCACCTAACATAGATGACTGTCCCTGACATATTCTTCTTAGCTGGTTAGGAGGTTCTAGCTCAAGATATGTGGGTAGAGAATAGGAATGTCTTAAGGTGCAATCCTACAGGGCCATCCTAAATAGGTCTGTGTACCTAAAACGAGGAGAAAAGGTTATTTGAGGTTGCCTTTTTTTTTCTCTTCAGTTCAGGCTGAGGTCAGGGTTGTTTATTTGAATTCTGGCAATAACCCTGGGAATTCGTTTAGGTGCCAAAGGAAACATGAGGACAGTTGACTCCAGAAAGATTGTGCTCCAAGGCGCACAAAACGGCAGGCAGGGACCCAAAGGAAGACACCAGGGCCTGGTCGTAGACACAACAAGTGTCTGGTGACTTTTGAGAGGGTCATATGTTGTTTGTTGGCTAATGTGAAAATTATTTAACCTATGTGCCAGGGGAGCAGGTAGAAGGTAAAGATGCAAACTTCAATCAGACTTTTATCATCTCTCTGTGGTATGCAGCCATTCTCTTATGTAATCTTCCTCTCTCCCGGGGGGGGAGGGGGGGCTGACAGAGAGCTGAGAGTGGGGTCCGGCACTCTGAGGACCCCTAGCAGCAAGTTGGGCTGTGATGCTGTCACCATCTAGGACTTAACTGATTCCACCAGGAGCCTGGGCACTGGGGTGGCCCCTCACAGTTGTCCTGAATTGAAGCAACCGGTCTTTAGACACAAGCCACCCTCAGGAAGGGCATGTAACCTTGATCATGGCAGCCACCAGAGGCCAAACCTCCTGGCAGCTGAGGGGATGAGTGTTTTGGTACTAAAGAGGGGACCCTGGGAAGGCACCAGCGCACCCATTTCACCCTGTGCTGCTGTCCCCCACCCCTGGTCTCTCAAGGGCACTCACATCCCACCCCCATCTTCACTGCCTTCAGACTTCCCTGGAAATAGAAAGCATTGCTCTTATCTTACAGATACTGGACTTCTACCTTACAGATACTGGGCTGAGCCTTTAAAGCAAAAACTCTGACCATAAAACTCTTACTTAAGAAGTTTGTACATGAATATGCTGAATGATTCTGGTATGAGGTCTAACAATTATGTCAACCTGTCTGTCCCTAAGAAATAGTTGTATTAGATCAGTTGCTCTGAAAAGCCGTCTTTGCAATGTCCCTAGGTCCCCCTCTTGCCGTCATCACGGACACCTACAGCTTTGTCGCCAGAATCCCCAAACTCATGCTTCATTTTAATCCCCTGCATCAGACCCCGGCTTACCCCACCAGCTAGAAGAACCTGTAGAGGAGCAGAGAGTGGGAGAGACATCCCTGCTAATGTGAATGCTTGTGAGGGAAACAGGGAGCAGGCCGACCACCAGGCAGAGGACGAAGAAGAAGGTGATGGCGTGGGAGAGGATGCAGATAAAGGTGAGGAGGCTGAAGCAGCTATGGGCAAACAGGATGTTTTCGTGGATGAGGATGACTGGGCAGAAGAAAAGGAAATGTTGCCCTGGCCGGTTTGGCTCAGCGTTTGGAGCGTTGGCCTGTGGACCAGACAGGCCTGGGTTCGGTTCCCGCTATGGGCACGTACCAAAAAAAAAAAAGAAAAGGAAATGTTAAATACGAGAGGGTGGGGGATGAGAGACAGAGACAGAGAGAGAGGCCACTTTGACCTCTCTACCTATTCACCTTCCACTGGCCACTCAGAATCTAAACGTAGTCACCTTGGATAGATGCCCTCCTATCTGCCCATTGTGGGCAGGGCCACCCACAGGTGACACTCGTCTCTACCACCCAGACAAAGCCCAGTGTGAATTTGCAATAGCGGAAGTAAAAAGAACCAGACATTTCAAGGCCCTGCTTTTTTCCCTCCAGAGTACTTTGAAAAATATTTTCCTTTTGCTACTTTTACACTTTATGTTTTTGTTAGTCTTGCTACGTGACCTCGGATGTCCAGACATGCCTTCAGAGCGAGCATTCTCTGTCCTACTTCTGACACTATGTGTGGTGTGACCATGTTCATTATTATCAAAGAAAAAAATATAGAGAAAAAACTTGGTAAAAATAAAAGGAAAAACAACAACAAAAATCTTATTCCGAGCGTTCATCATCTGTGTGCATGTGTGTGTACGTTGTGGGCATCCACTTGGAACCCCAGCGTGAGCATAAAGCTTACAGTAAACTGAAGACATTTGAGATTCAACAATACAGAAGAAAAGGCCTCCTCGAGCTTCCCTCATCTGACTAAAAGCAGCAATTTCTGAGAAATGGGGCTGCCGTAATTCTCCAGGAGGGGTGAATTTTGTGGCTCTGAAGGACAGAAAGACCTATACAGACAAACATTATCACAAACTTATCTCCCATTTGGTCTCCTAAACACCCATTGGCTTTTCCCATAGAAGCCTATTTATGCCCTGGCTGGTTTGCTCAGTGGTTAGAGCGTTGGCCTGCGGCCCAATGAGTTGCAAATTCGATTCCAGTCAAGGGCATGTACCTCGATTACAGTTTGTCCCTGGCCCTGGTTGGGGTCGTGCAGGAGGCAACCAGTCGATTTGTCTCTCTCACATCAATATTTCTCTCTCTCTCCTTCTCTATCCCTCACTCTATCTGAACAAAAATGGAAAAATATCCTCAGGTGAGGATTAAAAAAAATAATAATAAAGAAACCTATTTGCTCTTCCCATAGAAGCCTTCTCCTCTCCCCCTTTCCCTTCCAAGTTGGGTATATCAGCCCTTAACTTGAACCATTTGACAAGCTAGCTACTTCCTTTGTTGGCTCCTGTATGCATACAAGATACACACCTTTTTCTTCTATAATTTGTTTATTTATTAATTTGTGTGGCTTGTTTGATGTGAAACTATGCCTTCCAACAATTAGCTGGAATTTTATTTTGCTGAATTGTTCTAACAACAATAAAATTAGGATAATAAATAATAATTATAGTACAATTACTATGTGCCAGGTATTATTCTAGGCCCTTTACAGATATTGATTCTGAGGAATGAGCAAAACAAAAAACAAAAAACAAGATGAAGTCAGTATAGCTAAGCTGACTTAAAATGGAGTCTGATCGTCAAGCTGACAGAACTAGTTCAAACCAAATGGGCTGAAGCATAAGGAATAAATTTTGCTTTAACTAACCTGAGGACTTCAACTTTTGACTTTTTAGCTATGCATTATGCCAAAAGACATCTATAAATTCTAAGATAAACCTCTGAAAAACTTAAGAAAGAATGTTCATGTATCCAAACCACCTGACATTCATTATCCAGATCACCTGGCATCCATTATATAGACCACTGGACATCTGGAAGATTATCATCCTGGACCAATCCAGAGGCTAAGAAGGCAGGGCTGATTCAGCTCAAGAATATACTTTTTACTATAGAACTCCTAACTTTTCTCTTTTCTTTAGTGTTTCTGATTTGCAAATCCTAAGACCTTAAATAAAACTTTGCCATTTTAAATTTTAGCGAAGCCTCCTGATTCATTTATACTCAGTTGACAATTCATTTATCCTCACATCTCTTTGATGTACATAGCTGCAAAAGTAGAGAGGTAAAGTAACTCACCCAAGGTCACCAGCCAGGAGGTATCTGCATGGCCCTTTGAGAAATCATCACCTTATCTAGAAGCATCTTAGAATTTGCCCCAATGATATTAGAGAGCCCTGATTTCTAAAACTCAAGAAGCCTTTTCTCTTTTCATTGTAAACTTCCCAAAGCACAGATGGACAATTCTTTCTATAGTTCTGGTTTTTAAAAAGAAAAAATGTTCTAACTTTGGATTTAAGGAGAAAGCACGTGTTCTCTTTCCCCTTTCAATTCCAGCTTAATCCCTTGTTCTGTAGGAGTTTCTCACTCTCTGAGCTCCTCATCCATTGTTTTGTTCTCCCGTCTGTTTCTTTGTCATGCCTGTATCTCCTGTTCTAAGTTTTAGAGTGTTTTCACCTGTTTTGAGCGTGGTTCACCTGTAAAGGCAGAATGCCTGCAGCAGACCAGGACACAGCCGTGATGAAACTTGGTGGTTGGAATCGAACTAATTCTTGTAGGTTGTAGACTGAACTGCATTAAAGTGTGGGTATCACTCCGCTTTCCTTTAACATCTCCACCAAAGCACAAGAAAGAAATCTTGTTGAATTGCACTGCGATGACTAAGCATGTGGGGCATGGAGTCACTGAAGTAGGGCTGGCTGGGGCGAGTCCTGGACAAGCGGGTGTGCAGGTTCAGGTTTCACAGCTTCTTCATTGATAGGCGACAAGTGATCACCGAGCTCACTGAGGCTCTGCTCTGGGCGTTCAGCTACCACCTGGAAGGATTCGACAGTGATCAAGTATGAACTTTACTTACTTTGTTAGGTAGGAGTTTATAGTCAGTCAGTCAGTCAGCTTGTTGTCCCATTCAGTAAGCACTAAATGCCTTCTTTGTGTCTGGAAGAACATGGGATTGGAGAAACAAAAATCAGTAAAACTGGGGGCTTTACAGCCAAAAAAGAAGACAGGTGAAGTAACAGGCAGGAAGCTGATGTGATCATCTACATGAGAAAGGTCAAGAGCTTGAATTATTCCAAGACCCGAGGAAGATTAAAAATTAAATAAACCTTTGTTCTCTTCTTTACAGTGTTGATAATCTGTAGCTTAAAGTCTTAGCTAAGTGGCTGTGGGCAAGTGGGTGGGTCTCCTCCTATGCACAGAGGGAAAAGGCAAAGGGAGGGAAAGATTGTGAAGCCACCTGTCCCAACACTGTTGAGGGAAGCTCTGGGGGCTTGGAAACAGGAGAATTCTACTCCCCTATGTGGCTGAGCTGCAAGAATAACTCACTCATTTCTTTATAATCACTCCCAGTCAGGTGATATTTGCCTGGAATCAACTTAGTAAATTGAAAAAGGAAATGTGCAGGCATTTTTAACTACAGCACATGCAAATTGGGGTGGGGTGGGGCAGGCATGTGTGATGCACTTGTCGAGATGTAGCTGCCTTTCCTGAAAACAGAGGGGTCTTTTTGGCTTTTCCGTCATATGCTGTAGGTATCCTTTTGACAGGCTGTCCCCTTGATGGAGCAGGTAAATCAGCAGGCCTGCTATAAGCAAACCAATCATTTGATTCTGTATTAGCAAAAGAACTCAAGTCATTCAAGGTTAAAATTGAACACCTCAGTAATGTGATCAGCATGGAACAAAGAGAGGGGAGGACAGAGAGAAGAAGATACCTTTGGCTGGCAACCCTGCAGAGACTTCCAGGAATAAGTGGGCAGCAGGCTCAGAATGCCGCTGATAGCTGGTGTCAGCTGTCCCCAAAGGGCCAGCACAGCCTGTGACTTCTCTCCAGCATTCCACACAGTTATCCCCTTTGTGATTTGTCTGTAGAAATAGTGGAGGTGACAACAAATAATGTTTTCAACTGCTTGAATGTTATGGTCTTTCTCTCTTCTAGAAACATATGGGTTTGTATCCTTTATGAAGCCTAGCAAAGTAGCGGTGGACCCAATGCAGAGATAAAATTCAGGAACACTAAAATAGCACAAGTGGCTTTTCTCTGTCTCTGATCCCACCTCTTCTGGGAGAGGGCAGGCGTAACTTAGGTCAGCTCACCAACATAGCTACCATGCAATATATACTATTCCCCCTAACTCCACCCTCACTGTGGTTTCCTGGTCTTTAATCTGCTCCAAAGCCTTTGATGCTTTGAAACCACTTCTGCTCCCCCTGTTGCTGCTGCTATTGTTACCATGGCTAACACTAAGATCAAGTGATACCTGGACCACATTATACTTAAGGGAATTTCCTTCCTGCCCCAGTCAGGCCAACGATACTACAGTCTTTGAGGTTGCTGGCATATCTATGTCCTTGGCAAAGAATTGATTTGTAAGCCGAGATTGCTAATGAAGCAGGGAAACTTCCTTCCCCCACCTTCGTCTTACACTCTATTACACTTATGAAAATCACAATGAGACACTATGTTCTACCTATTAGGCTGGCAAGATCAAAATGTCTGATAAACTGTGTTAGAAAGGTCAGATGCATTGCACGTGGAATGTAAATTGATATAATCATTTAGGAGAGCAATTTGGTCATATCTATCACAATTTACAATGCCCATCCCATTTGATTGAGCAAATGTATCCCTAGTTGATTCTTTACCATGTACAAAATGGCACATGTACGAGGATAGTCGATGTAGGAGTGTTTTTTGTAAGATGGGAAACAATGCTATAGCAAACACTGTGGGGACTTGCCAGGTCCCCTTTGCTCACCTCTGGTTCACCTGCAGGCAAAGTGGAAAGTTCTATATTCACACAACTTCCCACCTGTTGCCTCAAGGGCAACACTTGATCATTGACAATGAAAGATAGTGCCTAACTTAGTCAACCTGGGCTGTCAAAACAAAACACACCAGACCATGTAGCTTAAAAAGCAGAAATCTGTGCCCTGACTGGTGTGGCTCAGTGGATAGAGCGATGGCCCATGCACCGAATGGTTGTGGGTTCAGTTCCTGATCAAGGGCACATACTTGGCTTGTTGTACCCTCCTCATGCAAGAGGCAACCAATCAATGTGTCTCTCTCACATTGATATTTTTGCTCCCTTCCACTCTAAAAAAAAAAAAAAAAAATCAATGGAAAAAATATTCTCAGGTGAAGATTAACAAAAAGAAAAACAGAAATTTGTTTTCTTACAGTTCTGGATGCTAAAGTCCAAGAGCAAGGTTCTGGCCAATCAGTTTCTGGTTAGGGCTCACTTTCTAACTTGCAGATGACTGCCTTTTTCATATGTCCTCACATGACCTCTTCCCAGCAAGTGTGCTTGGAGGGAGGAGAGTGTGAGAACAAGCTTCAATGTCTGTTTATAATGACACTAATCCTATCAAATCAGGGCCTTCCTTATCCTTATGACCTCATTTAACCTTAATTACTTCCTTAAAGACCTCATCTCCAAATATAGTCACACTCAGAGTTAGGGCTTTAATATATGTATTTGGAGCTGGGGGGTGGGGTGGAGTGGGTGGGCACATTCAGTCCATAACAGTACAGCTTTCCCATTCCTCAGAGTGATGTTTCTGAGGCATATTTTACACTGGTTCTCAGAGAGAGCCCAGTAGCATTGAGCCCAAGTTGCTCTAAATTGTGACTTGCTTATTAATCTATCTTATCATGGCTTTTTTCCCTCCCTTCTCACTGAGCTTCCTGGAGCCATCTCCCTAATATATGACCTACTCCCAAGATTTTCTTTCAAGGTTATTTTGGAAGAATTTGATTGAGACAATATTTTGAATAATCAGTCATTTCAACCTACAGTTATGCCCCCAGGTATTCAGACCTGTAGGTTGTCCTTTATTCCTAGCACCGTGGTAGCAGTTGTTATGTTCTGGTTCTTGGTTGGTGCTAGTTCATACTGCAGCATGGGGTAGACTGGAGTTGGAGAGACCCTGGAAATTACTCAGCCCTGGAGAGGAGGTGAGGCTGGGAACAGAGGACAGACCCAGCTCTGCGAGTCTCAGGAGTCCCAGAGGGACTACCATGTTCACCAAGCACACCAGAGACAACAGGTAAGTCTCCTGTCTCCCGTGGGACCCAGAGTGTCCCCATAGATGAGTTGAATACAGTTGCTAAAAAAAGCCTCTGAAACAAGGCAGAGTTTGAAATTTCAAAGTATACTCTCCCTCGTAAATTGTTGTGGGAAAGTTAGTTTTTGAGAGTTACAATCAAAGCTGTTATAATTTTTATCACCATTGATTAATTGTGCCTGTTCTTAAATTACACATAAATGAAATAATTCCCTGTGTCATCATTTTGTGTCTGGCTCCTTTTGCTCAATGTGGTGCTTGTAAGATTTATCCATGTTGTTGTAGGTGTACTGACTAAAAACAATACAAAATTGGTTACAGAGGCAAAACCTAGAAAATTCTGTTCTTTTCATCTCTTATGCCAATAAAAAGAAATTTAAGTAATCCAAATAGGATATGCCATGTAAGGAACTACGACTTTCCACATATTTAAACATTATCAGAAATTCATATTTTTATGGGAAAAGAATGCAGCTCTTCAAATCCCCTCCCCATTTGATCTGACCTCTCACTCCAGGTGAGAAAGAATTCTTGTGCCAGTGACTCCACAAAGACTGTAAAAATGTGTTTCTTTCTATGTCACCTTCACGTTTCAGTTTCTCAGATTCTTCTCACCTCTTATCATCATGGATAACTGTCTCTTTTTATACTGTCACCTTTGAGAAATTCTCATGGTGTGTATGTGTCTGGCCCTCTGGGATGAGAAGCAGTTCAGTATTACCTGTTGGTTAAATCTGCCATGGGCTTCTGTCCTGACAATCAATCTTTCCATTCGGATATTTCTATTCTTCAATCATAAAGAAGCTTCTACACAGCAAGGAAACCATCAACAAAATGAAAAGGCAACCTACTGAATGGGAGAACATATTTGCAAATTATACATCTGATAAGGGGTTAATATCCAAAAAATATAAAGAACTCACATAACTGAATAACGGCAAAACAACCACAAAAAAACCAATCTGATAAAAAAAAATGGACAGAGGATCCAAATAGACATTTTCCCAAAGAAAACATGCAGATAGTCATCAGGTAAATTAAAAAGATGCTCACCATCACTAATCATCAGGGAAATGCACATCAAAACCACAGTGGGACACCACCTCACACCTGGTAGAATGGCTGTTATAAAAAAGACAAACAATAATAAGTGTTGACAAGGATGTGGAGAAACAGAATCCTCATGCACGGTTAATGGAACTGTAAATTGGTATAGCCACTATGAAAAACAGTATAGAGGTTTCTCAAAAAATTAAAATGAGAACTACCGCCATTCAGCAATTTCACTTGAGGTATTTATCTGAAGGAAATAAAAACACTAACTCAAAAGTGTATCTGCACCCCCCATTTCACTGCAGCACTATTTACAATAGTTAAGATGTAGAAACAATCTAAATGTCCATCAATGGATGAATAGATTTTATTTTATTTTTTTAAGAGGTTTTTTTTTTCCCCTTTATTGATTTGAGAGAGAGGGAAAGGGAGAGGTAGGGAGAGATGGAAACACTGATGAGAGAGAACATCGATTGGCCGCCTCCTGCATGCCCCCACTTGGGGATTTGGTCCACAAACTGGGCATGTGTCCTTACCAGGAATCAAACCTGCAACTTCTGCCCTGGCCAGTTTGGCTCAGCAGTTAGAGGATTCACCTGCGGTTCAGAGAGGCCTGGGTTTGGTTCTCGCTAAGGGTACATACCTTGGTTGCAGTTTGTCCCCGGCCCGGTTGGGGTTGTGTGGGTGGCAACCACTCAATGTGTCTCTCTCACATCAATGTTTCTCTCTGTCTCTTCCTCCCTATCCCTCCTGCTCTATCTGAAGATACATAAAAAAAAAAAAAAAGTCCTCGAGTGAGGATAAAAAAACAAAACAAAACAAAAAACCCTACAACTTCTTGGTGCATGAAGAAGAGCCACACCACCTGGGCTGGATGAATGGATTTTTTTTTGGTACGTGCCCTTAGCGGGAACCTAACCCAGGACTCTCTGGACCGCAGGACGACACTCCAACTGCTGAGCCAAACCGGCTAGGGCTGGATTTTTAAAATGTAATAAACAGAACAGAAGCACAGACCAGCGGCTGAGACCCATCCCCCAAAACTACAGCAAAAGCTGAGCAAGAGTTGAGCCCCACGGGGCAGCAGCACTCCCCAGCCTCCAGCGGACCTGGGGCACCAGAGAAGCCTGTGTGACCCAGCAGGGACTGTGCCATCCAGGTACCCACGGGACCTGCAGGGTGCTGAAGCACCAGAGAGGCCTGTGCAACCCAGCAGGGACTGTGCCATCCAGGTACCCACGGGACCTGCAGGGTGCTGAAGCAACAGAGAGGCCTGTGCAACCCAGCAGCCCATAACATAGGCATAGAGCCTGGTCCCCAAAGGGACTGTGCCATTCAGTTACCCGCGGGACCTGCAGGGTGCGGGGGCACCAGAGAGACTTGTGCAACTGAGTTGTGCACAAGATAAGTTTAGAGGATGTAAAAATGGAGGCAGAGTGAATAGAAGCTACACAGACAATCTCCCAGGACCAAACAGGAATTACAACTAAAATAAAGACAAATCCTCGGAAAAAAAGCACCAGTAAAGCAGCAGGACAGGACCATATAACTGGGGACACTGGTAGGATGTGTGTAGGCACGAAAGGGTGGCAGGCTGGGAGCCCATGGACAGCAGCAGTCTTAGCTGTGAGCAGTGCCCTTGGAGAATAAAGACCAAGCCCGCTCCACAGCCCAGCGAGCTGGGACAGAGTGCTAAAATAGCCATAGCCACTCACCTGGGGGATACGGCACAGTGAGGTCAGACTGGGCTGGAACTCTGTGGGAACAACTGGGATTTGGAGGGCACTCAGAGTTTTTGCTGAGTTGCAGCCACAAAGGACAGTGGCCAGTGTGCTCCTTCCCAGAGCTGTGGGAAAAAGCAGCAGCCCCCCACTCGGAGATTGAGCCTTTCCCAGGTGAAGCAAAGAAATGAATTGAGGCTCTTTAACAACCAGCATCTATCCCACCCTCTGGAATTCCTCTTATGCAGATCTCCAGGGCTACATTCCAAGGCACAGAATAACTGAGACTAATAGCCTCCAGGAAAAGCTAGAGGATAACTGAACCTTTCCTGGGCTTGCAAATCTACTCAGGAAAAGAAGACTTGACAGTGGTGTTTAACGTGGGCCCACCCAGGGTCATCCAAACCCAGTAGAAGAAACCAAAAAGAGCAGAACACCAACAACCACAGGAAAATTTTGGCGGGCTACAAAACCCACTGAGATAGCCAAAATGGTGAAACAAAGAAACAAATCCCAAATGAAAGAACAAGAGAAATCTATCGAAGATGAGATCAATGAAATGCAGCTAAGCAAATTATCAGAGGTAGAGTTCAGAGCCATGATCTTGAGGAAGATCAACAGCATGAGTAAGGACATCAGCACCATGAGTAAAGATATAGAAACATTGAAAACCAACCAAGTGGAAATAAATAATGACATACCAGAAATGAAGAACACATTGGAAGGACTAACCAGCATAGTAGAGGAAACTGAAGACTGGATCAGTGAATTAGAAGACAGGGTAGAAAAAAATCAACAATGAGAAACCCAAAAGGAAAAAACAATTAAAAAACAGGAAGATAGCTTAAGAGAACTGTGGGACAACTGAAAACATAATAATATTTGCATTATAGGCGTCCCCGAAGACGAAGAAAATGAGCAAGGGTTAGAGAATATATTTGAAGAAATAGTGACAGAAAACTTTCCTAGCTTGGTGAAGGAAGAAGGCATTCAAGTTCAAGAAGCAAAGAGAGCCCCAAGTAAGAAGAACCCAAACAGGCCCACACCAAGTCGCATAGTAATTAAAATGTTAAAAATTAAAGACAAAGAGAGAATCCTAAAGGCAGCAAGAGATAAGCAACAGGTTACCTTAAAAGGAACCCCCTAAGGCTCTCAGCTGACTTCTCAACAGAAACACTACAGGCCAGAAGGGAGTGGCATGAGGTAATCAAGGTCATGGGAAAAAAAGATTTCAATCCAAGACTGCTCTACCCAGCAAGGCTATCATTCAAAATAGAAGGTTAAATAAAGAGCTTTCCAGACAAAAAAAAAAAGGCTAAGGTTATACATTAGCACCAAACCAGCTTGTAAGAAATGTTAAAAGGAATGCTGTAATTAGTAGAAGAAATTGGAAGAAAAATACAGTCACACTAAACAAAAATGGCAATAAATAAGTATATATCAATTATCACCTTAAATGTAAATGGTTTAAATGCTCCAATAAAAAGACACAGAGTAGCTGACTGGATAAGAAGGCATGACACACATATATGTTGTTTATAAGAGACCCACCTCACAACAAAAGTCTCACATAGGTTAAAAGTAAAGGGGTGAAAAAAAATCTTTCAAGCAAACGAAAAGGGAAAAAAAGCCAGGGTAGCAATATTCATATCTGATGAAGTAGATTTCAAAATGAAGGCCATAACTAGAGACAAAAAGGCCACTACATAATATTGAAAGGATGTATCAAACAGGAAGATATAACCTTGGTAAACATATATGCACCCAATATAGGAGCACCAACATATATTAAAAATATTCTGGAGGACTTCAAAGGAGAAATCGACAGCAATACAATCATAGCAGGAGACTTCAACACCCCTGTGATATCACTGGGTAGATCATCTAGACGAAAAATTAACAAGGAAACACAGACTCTAAATGAAGCGCTAGATCAAATGGATTTAAAAGCTATCTACAGAGAATTACACCCCAAAACTATAGATTCACATTCTTCTCAAGTGCACATGGGACATTCTCAAAGATAGACCACATGTTAAGGCACAAACTAAGTCTCTACAAGTTCAAGAAGATTGAAATTATATCAAGCATCTTCTCAGATCACAATGGCATGAAACTAGAAATCAATTGCAACAAGAACATGAAAAGACATTTGAAAACATGGAAGCTAAATAGCATGTTATTGAACAATGAATGGGTTACCATGGAGATCAAGAAAGAAATTAAAAACTTCCTGGAAACCAATGAAAATGAACACACCACAACACAAAATCTATGGGATGCAGCGAAAGCAGTTCTGAGAGGGAAGTTCATAGCACTACAGGCCTACCTCAAAGCAAGAAAAATTTCTAATAGACTATCTAACCTCACAACTTAAAGAACTAGAAAGCAAACAAAAAGAAAACCCCAGAGCAATTAGAAGGAAGGAAATAGTAAAGATCAGAGCAGAAATAAATGACATGGAGACCAAAAAAACAATTCAAAGGATAAATGACACAAGAGCTGGTTCTTTGAAAAGATAAACAAGATTGATGGACCCTTAGCTAGACTCACCAAAAAACAGAGAGAGAATCCAAATACACAAAATCAGAAATGAAAGAGGAGAAATAATAACTGACACCACAGAAATACAAAGGATTGTGAACAACTATTATGAACAATTATACGGCAACAAATTCGACAATCTAAGTGAAATGGAAAAATTTCTAGAAACACATAGTCTCCCAAAACTGAACCGGGAAGAGATAGAAAACTTGAACAGACCAATAACAACAAAAGAAATTGAAAAGGTAATCAAGACTCTCCCAGCAAACAAAAGCCCAGGCCCAGATGGCTTCACGGGGGAGTTTTACCAAACATTCAAAGAACTAACACCCATTCTCCTCAAACTAATTCAAAAATTTAAGAAGAAGGAAGATTTCCAACCTCATTTTATGAGGCCAGCATAATTCTAATTCCAAAACCAGAAAAAGACACTACAAAGAAAGAAAACTATAGGCCAATATCCCTGATGAACTTAGATACCAAAATCCTGAACAAAATACTAGC